TAGAAGAAAACTTCCTCAACTTGATAAAGGGCATCTATAAAACAACAACCACAACAACAACAAAACAACAAAATCAACCTTATAGCTAACAACATATTATACTTACTGATGAAATGTTGAATGCTTTCTCCCCTAAGATTGGGAACAAGGCAAAGGTGTCTGATGTCACCCCCTTGATGCATCATTTTTTTTGGAGGTCCTAATCAATGTTATAAGATGGGAAAATATATATATATGAGACATAAAGATCATAAAGAAAACTGTCATTATTCACAGATAGCATAATTGTTTATGTAGAAAATCTTAAGGAATATGAAAAGACTAATAGAACCAGTAAGTGAATTTAGTAAGCTCACAGGATAAAAGGTCAAAATACAAAAATCAGTTACATGTTATATAGTTTCTATCAAGTAGCAATAAACAACTGGGAAGTAAAATGAATAAAACAAAACTTTATTCATTGACTCTCAATGACATAAAATACTTGCTAATTAATTTTATGAAAAAATGTGCAAAACTGCAGTAAAAATTGCTGAGAAATTAATAATAAATAGAACGATATCCTGTTTATGGTTTAGAAAACACAATATTATTAGTATCAACTTACCCCTCAAATGATGTATAGATTCAATCTTGTTCTTTAAAAATTTCACTATTTTTTCCAGTAATTGGCAAGATAGTTCTAAAATTTATGTGAAAATGCAAAGGATCTAGTAGCCAAAACAATCTCATAGAAGAATAATAAATATAGAATAATAAATTTGTAAGACCTAACCTACCTGATATTAAGATTTATGATAAAGCTATACTTTTCAAGAAACTGTAGTATTGGTAAAATAATAAATAGACCAATGGAACAGAATAGGGTTCAGAAATTAATCATATTTTGTCAATTTGACAAAGTTGTCAAGTCAATTCAATGAAGAAAGGAAAGTCTTACCAACAAATGGTGCTGAAAAAACTGGATATCTATGAGGAAACAATGAACTGTATCTCCACCTCACAACAAACACAAAAATTCATCTGAAATGGATCATAGATCTAAATGCAAAAGTTAAAACTGTAAAGCTTCCAGAAGAAACTATAGGAGGATACCTTCATTATGTTGGGTTAGCAAAAATTTCTTGGTACACAGACTTTACTAACCATAAGTGAAAAATATTGATATATTAGACTTCAAACTTTGAAACTTCTACTCTTAGAAAGACACCATTAAGAAAATGAAAAGGGCTGGACACGGTGGCTCATACCTGTCATCCCAGCACTTTGGGAGGCCAAAGTGGGAGGATGTCTTGAGCCCAGAAGTTGAAGACAAGCCCGGGTAATAATGAGGTTTTGTCTGTACAAATAAAAAATATTAGCCAGGTGTGATGGCACACACCTGTGTTTCCAGCTACTCAGGAGGCTGAGTTGGGAAGATAACTAGAGTCCAGGAGGTCGAGGCTATAGTGATCTGTGATCATGCCACTGGCCAACAAAGTGAGACCCCCCCCACAACAACAAAAGATAATGAAAAGACAAATTCACAAAAGTAAAAATATTTGCCATACATGTATATGCACAAAGGACTTGTATCTTGGACATACAAAGAAAGAAACCTGACAGCCAATAATAAGTCATACAGCCATTTTTTAAAATGGGCTAAAGATTTCAACAGAAACTTAACAAAAGAAGACATAGTATGACCAGTAAACACGGAAAAGATGCTTAACACCCTTAACACCAAGGAAATGGAAATAAAAACCACAATGAGATACTATTCACACCTTTTACCCCTAAAATGATTAAAATTTCAATGAATATTAATACCAAATGTTGCCAAGGGTATGAAACAACTGGCAAGATCATGCACTGCTGAGGAGATTATTAAATAGTGCAACTGCTTTGGAGAAACAATTTGAGAGTTTCTTAAAAAGTTAGCATACACCTACTGTATGTCCAAACACTTCCCCACCTAAATGTCTACTCAAGAAAAATGAAAACATATGCCTTTAAAAACTTGTAAAACTTGTATATGAATTCTTACAGCAGCTTTATTGATAAAAAGTCCCTAAATAGAAACATCACAAATATACCTAGCAAGGAGAATGGAAAAATAAATTGTGCTATATTTATATAATAGAATACTACACATACTACCTATGAATAAATAACCTGTCCAGCCCTATTATTCTATCATTTTATCAGTCCATTTAGAAGTAGGTGTTTTACAATAATGAGATACCACTTCACATCCATGAGCATGGTGTTAAAGCAAACTAAATATGGCCTGAGAAGAACTTCATACTTCTATATTTGAGTCCTTGTGGATAAACTGCAACCTAACAATAGGTAGACAAGATTGAAAACCTAACTTAGGAGTATGTGTCTGTACCAATAGCTGAGTGTTGGACAATCCCAGCAGCCACACTTCACTCATAGACAGCTGAGTGTTCAAACTGTGTTCAAATAAGGCAAACACAGAGCTGTAACCAATCCTACTGTTTCTGTACCTCACTTCCAATTCCTGTATGTCACTTTACTTTTTTTGTCTAAAAATTTGTTCTAACCACAAGGCACCCCTGGGGTCTTTGAATCTGCTGTGATTCTGGAGGTTGCCCAATTTGCAAACCTTTCATTGCTCGATTAAACTCTTTAAATTTGATTTGGCTGAAGTTTTTCAATAATGGCCATGACCAAAAACATAGATAATAAGTATTTTCAAGGATGTGAAGAAATTGGAACCCTATACATTACTGGTGGGAATGTAAAATTATACAGTTGCTTTGGAAAACAGCCTGGCAGTTCCTGAAATTGTTAAACATGGAGTTACCAAATAACCCAGTAATTCTACTCCTCACTATATACCCAAGAGAAATGAAAACATACATTCACAAAAAGTCTTGCACACAAATGTTCATAGCAGTATTACTTATAATAGCTGGAAAGTGGAACCAACTCAAATGTTCATCAAATCATGAACTGGATAAATAAAATGTGGTATATCGTACAATGTACTATTATTTGGCAATACAAAGTAATTAAGTTCTGTTACATGCTATACCATAGATGACCCTTTAAAAACATTATGCTAAGTGAAAGAAGCCAGTCACAAAAGACCACCTACTGTACAATTCCATTTATATAAAATGTCCAGAATAGGCAAATGTGTATGGAGAGAAGGTAGATTTATAGTTGCCGAGGGTTAAGAGTGGGGGAAGGAGAATGGGGAATGACTGCTAATGGGTATTAAGTGATGAAAATGTTTTAAAATTGATTATGGTGATATTTGTGAAATAGAATAGGGATGAAATTTAGCCCTCACCATGATTTGGCCTCCACCCCCACTAACACATTTTTTTCCATACCCCCCTCCCATTACCTACCAGATCTCGCACCACCCCCTCCATTGGGGTCATCCCTGATGGCACAAGATATCTCTTGAAATGAAGATAAGCAGCATCCCACTGTAAATCTTACTCAAGGGAGTTGACCATATCACAGGCATGTGCACAAGACCAGAAGAATGTCTGATCTTTACCCCATGCCTCATTGTAATACTAAAATCCTCACCCAGGGAAGAGCTTATCCATCATATTTTGTTAATGCAATGTATGCACTAGCATGATTTCTCATTGTGCCTGCACACCCTGTGCTCCATCCTGTACATGTAATGACACTCCCATACCTCATGCACAGTCCTGTCACCTTTCCTAAAAACACCACAAAGACCTGCCCTCGGAAAGCCAGCCAGGTAACTCTTGCTCCTGCACTGTCTCCATTGTGTTCAAACATAAGTCCCATTAAAAAGCCTTGTTTCGGAAACTTGCTCAGCCTCTTGTCAATTTCTATTACATGAGAGCCTAAGAACCTGTGGTTGGTAATAGTTGTACAACTCTGTGAATGCTAAAAACCACTGAGTTGTACACTTTAAAGGATGGATTATATGGTATGTGAATTATATTTCTATAAAGCTGTTTTTAAAAAAGATTGGGTGCTCTTGTGGTACAACACCCTTGCACTTTCCACTGTGCTTCATTGCCTTCCAGTGTATCCTTGTCTGGCTCAGCGTAAATGATGGTTTATTTAATAGCAGGGAAATGGACTACATGATCTGGATCCTTTAGACCAAATGGTCTGTGTTTCAGTGAATCACTGGATACAGGAAATGGAAAATGAAACCATTTCTCTTATGTCAAAAGAAAAACTTTACACAAATTAAATTTGATAAATTTAAAACTTCAGACAAATTTAAGTTTAATAAAATTAAATTTAACAGAGCTTAACAGAAGAATGATTAGAGAATCAGTAGCCCTCAGAGCCAGCAGAGGTTCAGAAAGCTCTACTTCACAGTGTGGGCAGGGAACTTTTATGGACAGAATATGGAAATGAAGTACAGAAAGCGCTTGATTGGTTACAGCTGAATGCTTGTTTTATTTGAATATGGTGTGGTTAGTGGACCACCTGTGATTGACTGAAGCTGGCTGCTATGGTTAACTAAGTCTCAGCTATTGTTACAAAAATATACTTGTAATTAGGCTTTCAGTTAGTTTAAATCCTGTTAGGTTGTAATTCCTTACATAGGGACTCAAAGTAGAGTTCCCCCAGTGCGAATTTAGTTTAAAAAGTAATAACTCTCTTAACAAGAAGGTATTCCGTCATGGATGCTTTGCTTCGGCTCAACTCCCAAACTCTATCACTTGCTAGCTATGAAACTTTAGCCAAATTACTTAAACTCTTTTTATCTTTGGTTTCTTCACACAAAAATGAGGATAATAATACCCATATCGTAAGGTGTTATAAGAATTTAATTATATGTAGAAAGTTCTCAGCACAGTATCTAACATGTAATAAGTGTTGAATAAATAGTTACACAATTACTGTTTATTTTTATCATGATTATTTATAGTGTATAGTTTCTAATTAAGTGCTTTCCTCTTTAGAGGAGTCAAAATATTCTTTATGGCTGTTTACTATTTATACTTCACAAGCCCTGTTGACGTGTGCTGTTCTTTTAATAGGTACAACATAAGAGATATGATGCAATTCTTAAGCGTTTGCATTGTCAGGTGAACAAGCTTCAGTCAAATAGACGACAGTGGCAATGGAACATTCAACGACTGGAAAAAACTGCAGCCGAATTAAGAAAATGCATTGGAACGCAAGAACAACATTGCCATAGGGCAGTGTGGAACACAGATGATGACAACAAAAATTATGGGACAGAACACTGAGAAAATCTTTTGGATTCCTAATAACAAGCATCCACTATCAGTGGCCTGTCTTAATGACAGATGTCTTTGGTTGTTGTTGTTGTTTTTTAAATCAGTCATCCATTTGTTAAAAGGCCTTCTAACCCTACACTTGACAGCAGTTGACAGACAATAGGAATGCCTAGAGGAGAATAGTGCAAGAGTCTCTATGACTATTTTGAGTGTGTAAAATGTATTATACTCATGAATATCTGTTTATAACTATGTTGCATTCACTACCCTATGAAGTAAAAATTTAGAAGGGAAAAAACATTTGATTTTTTTCAATGATTTATATTATTAAGATATTTGAAAATGTGTGTCTGTTTCAAACTTTTTATTGGAACTTGTTTTTTTACAACTGCCTTTACAGTAGCCCATAAATATTGATATTTATAATAATGTTTTTGTATGTTCAATGCTTCAAATATTTTTTCCATTTTCTCTTTTATCTAGAAGGTAACCATCATTTTTCTTTGTTATTAAATAACATATTTTAGAGTGATAACAATGAATAAAATATTTTGTTCACTTTTCCGTCTATAAATTATTCATATTCTGTGACTAAATTTACAGCATCATGTAACTCTTAAGAGTATTAATCAGTACATACTAACATTTTTTCTCAGTGAAGGGCAAAATGTCGATAAATCAAATGTTAACTTGCCCCTTTCAAGGTAAAAGTGATCTCTTTAATGCTTCCATTGAGTCAAATACTTAGAAACAAAAACAAATATGAAGATATGGTTTTAAAATATTCATTTGTAAGATTAATTTCAAACAGAGAGCATCAAAAAAATTTTTTAATTCATTATCTCTTTGCCTTTCTATGTGACTAAAATTCAGTAAGTGGAGCTGAAATAAAACCTGATATAATAATCTTATTATGTCTAACAGTATAGTTTTATTATGGCTTAGCATGGCTTACTATGGCTAACACTTCCAACAGCTTATCCTGTAACACAATCAGCTTCGGTCCATGACTCAGAAACACAGCTACAGTAAAAATGGTGAAACCTACAGATTGTGGGGAGCACACACTATGCTCGGCTGAAGACAAGCCTGAACCAAATGCTGATTATATAAATAGATTTTAATGTAACTTGCATATTAAAAAGTTATTACACTTCCTAAGTTTAGTTATCACTTAGATTCTAGTTTTCTAAACTGTTTTTAAGTTTATACTGGGATTCAAAATATTTGTAAATGATAAAACTTTGAATTATAGATTTGAAAGTTTGTTTTTAAATTCAGATATGAAGAAAATAGGTATAATCTGCGTAAGATAATGTGCTCTATTTGTAAAAGCAAGTTTAATGTAGTTTTCTAAAATATCATTGATAATACATGTACCTATTTTACATTTTATGACAGTCAAAAATTATTTGAAAAATGTTTTTTCTTGTTCTTTCTAATCTTAAAAACTATTTCAGATAATAGAGGCTTTCAGATTAATTAAGGAGGTATCCAAAGCTTGATGATTTAGTGGATATGATATTTTAACACAATCATAAACTCTAAAATTAGAAAATTGAAGTTGCTTTTAATTTTAGTTCCGTATAATTGAACTTAGCTTAGAATATGAGCTCTTTTGCTTAGTGGCATTCACACACATGCTTCTGACTTAACACTCAGTCTCTTTGGGGTAAATAGTTCAAAATTCTCCTCTTTCTCATTTTTTTTTTCCTCTATGGAAATGTTCTAAGTTCCTGGGGGACTTGTGTCATCAGGGACATGGCTCTGCTCCAAATGTTATTTTCTAATCTCACTGGCCTGTGCAGAAATGTAATCCATTTTTCCTGGTATTGAGGATCATCGTGAGTCTGTGCTGTATATGCAACTGTTTAGTCAATACAGTCAGCTTCATTGTCCAATCACAAGACCTCTTCCAGCCCTATTTCATTTTCTGTCTGTATGCTGGTCAAATTTTATCTCTTTGGGACCTGCTATTCTATCCATGCAGTCTTCCCCACTCCTTGATTTCAGTATAAATGGAGTCTTTCAAGGTTCTCAGTGCTTTTAATAGCTCAGCAAAATTTCAACTCTCAAAATAATGAATCTTCTGCAAAGAAAGCTATGATTTCAAGAATACTGTTTCTACTGTGGACTTTTAAAAAAGCCTAATATGAAACTCAAAGCAAACAAATTAGTTCTGAATTCTCAGTAGTATCTGTCCTGACCCAGACCTGCTAGGCACTATTACCTAAATGATCAGCAACAGGTAACAAATGCAAGGAAGCAGAGGGAAGAAAAAAACCCTACAGTTAACATCTCAAAATATTACTTACTACATGTGCAATCTATGGACAAATTATAATTGACCAATGCAAAGAAACTGATATCATATCTTTAAAACCATGGGAGTCACCAGATTTTACACATTAAAGGTGAAGTCAGCCATTAAGGACACTTTCACGGCCAATATAAATGGTCTATATATTGTCTGTTAGACTGTGTCTCTTCCAGTCAATTGATTAATCATGCTATTTTCCAAAAACACTGTAGACACAAAATAACAACACTAAACAATGATAAAGCACTGAGTATTCTGTGCCCTATTTGACAATTTGTATCTATCATTTCATTTAATTATCAAAATAATGGCCTAAAGCATATGTTATTTTCCCTAATTTGCAGATGGGGAAACTGAGGCTTAGGTTGAGTAACTCGCTTAAGATCTCATCACACAGCTCATCGGCGCAGGGTTGAGATCAAAGTCCTATTTTAGCTAGATGGAACTACAAGAAAATGATTCCAAGGACAAGCTTCAATTTTATTATAAGTAAGTAATAATTTATTTCTACATTTAATCTATCATTTTGATATATTACAAGGCATACAATAAATTTAATCAAAGGGAGAAATTTTGTAATTAAAAATAAATGACACACAAATGCATAGGTGACAGTACATGAGAGTCAGTGTCAGTATAATATTTTGGCTGTGAAAAATGGAATCTTGTTTATGAAAATTGCTTTGGAATCTTTTAAAGCTTACATAGGACATTGCAATTAAAACTCTAAATTTCTGTTATTTTACATTGAACATGGAATTCACTGTTTATCCATAAAAGTTATTAAAGGACTATGTGAATACTATAGTGATTTGAAACTATTTGGAGGAGGAATCAGTAATTCAGAAGAACACGTGGTTTTCATTTGTTGTTGCTCATAGTTTAGCTTCTCATATTTTCAATATTATATATATTTTATTTTTCATTAAGCTAATGATTACTAAAGCTAATGATCAGAAGCTAAAAGTTATATGCCTGTCAAAAACAACCTATGTTATCTGTTATTTGAATTTATAATGTATTTCTAAGGGAAGCAGCTGTTTTTCTTTTCTGATAAGGCAATGTAAGAAATGGGTCTTCTTCATTGCATTAGCTATCAAATAATACTTTCTCTTGAATGTTACTGAACTATAACCAAAACCAAGAAAAATAAATTGAAACTGATACTAATAGCAAAATAGATCTATTCAATACATAGCTAAGAATAGGCTGCTCCAAATTGCTTTTTCTTTTCTGTAATGTTCTATTTAAATAATGACTGTGAGCTCTAGATCTTTAGAAAAATAAAAATAGCATATGATTTGGTAATGACAGGGTTGCTGTTTACATAATCCAGTGAAGACAGACATGAAGTAATGAGACTTCAACCTGTTAATTAATGAGATGATGTATTCCAAAAGCAAAATTAGAGTTCATATGATAAATAGTTTTAAAAGGCTTCTTACCCAAAAGCTCTCTAGCATAAAAATCATGTCAAAATTGGAATAAAAGACTTAAATTACTGATATTTGTCAGCATTACTCAATCACATAGCACAAGGTAATTTAGAGAGATTGACAATATATTGCCAGTCTCAGATGAATTTTTAAACATTTTTTGTCCAAAATAAGTCAAGACACATCATCCACTTCATCTGCTACTGTTATCCCCCTAACATTATTTTACATTAAATAGACATATGTGATCCTGATGCTTGTATTGGAGATGCTGTCTTGAGATGCTTTCGAGACTGTTTCTCCCAGAATCCATCGTGCTTCTTTGTGTATATGACACTGAAAAAAGTATAGCTAGCCTACAATTTGCATTGGTTGTTTTGACTTCAGTGACCTAGTGTTGACGAACTCATGCACAGGTATCTGAACCAGATGTCTGGATCCCTATGCATGACCTACACACCTACTTGGCAAAAAATATCACATGATTTTCTCTTCCACTTTTTCCACAGAGACTGTCTAGCCACTCTCAAGTGTCATTCTTTAAAATGAAACCTCTCTGAGAACACTTTCATCACTTAGATGTAATATTGACTTTGCTGGGCAGTTAAATAATGTTGGTAATATTTTAATTTGTGGTTCATACAAATAAAACATGTAAAACATTCAATTCAGAAAAAGATCCATCCTTATTCTAACCCTCCACTAATGTAGATTATTTATCTTCTAAGCCTTTCAGTCTCAATCTGTCAATGTAATGTACTCATGCACAGTTTTCTAATAATTAGTGTAATTCTCTCATGTTTCTTTCATCTCTTTTAATAAAAAATGCAGCTTCCTCATTCAGACCTTAGCTTTTTCAGTCCCTACACAGCCATAAGTTGCATCATCTTCAAGCTCCAATTCTAATTTTCTGTTTTAACTCCAAAGCTTAATCCAGTGGCCTCACTTAGATCTCAATCACTGAAGATAATCTCTTCATTTAGAACCAGCTTATTCAGGAATCTATCCTTTTTTTTTTTTTTACTTTGGCGTGCCCCACAAAGAAATCTTTCTGAAACATTGTGTAATAGACACAGTCACTGCTTTGCCCAAATCCTCTAAGATTTTTTAAAAATCCTTTTTGAGCAGCCCTCTCCCAATTGAGTCATGTTTTGCCTCCAAAAACTCTTACCTAAGACTTCCTTTGGGATGTTTGCTACCCTTAAAGGACTTTACTTGATATTGCAGCCTTGCTTGTCTTCTTTTCTCCTTACCAGTCCTGCTTCCCTTCCCAATTTCTCTAGGGAAGACTTCAATAATAAATCACTCATTCAAGAATCTTCATCTCAGAATCTGCTTCTGGGAATCCCAAACTAAGTCACCTTACAAGATTAATCACACTCTGAAATCTCTATTTTCAAGAGATGACTATTGTTCTACTCCTGTTCCTCCCTCCTCCCTTACCCCAAATCAGTTCCACTCCCAGAAGCGGCCAAAGGAAAGAAGGAAAGAAATCTAATCACTATCCCATTTGATGTAATTTTCCCATGATTTATTTGCTTTAAATAAAAAAGCAACCCAGGCCAGGCATGGTGGCTCATGCCTATAACCCCAGTACTTTGGGAGGCTGATGCAGGTGGATCACCTGAGGTCAGGAGTTCAAGACCAGCCTGACCAACATGACGAAGTCCTGTCTCTACTAAAAATACAAAAATTAGACAGGCGCGATGGCACGCATGTGTAAT